GAAAAAAAAGTCATCACAGCCACAAATTGTGGCCTTTTGAGTAGGTAAGCGGATGTGGGAGATCAACCCAAGGCACTGTTATTCAGCCATTCATGTAAAGAGGAACTGTGATCTCAACACTGTGATCTCTGTCCATATATAATCTGGTTGCTCTTAAAAAGTTGACGCATCACAAAAGCACTGGTGTGCCATAGGCTAGTAAGGATGGGTCTTTTACTTCCTCATGCAAGGGGAGATATTAAATTGTGGAGGCTGTTCTTCAAAACAAGAACACTTTAGGAAAATACATTGCCCACATGCTTAGTGAAAGCAATTTACTTTGACTTCTCTGCAGGGAGCCTAAGGTTTGAGGAGTGACAAATCCTCAAAGAGCAAAGAGGTCAAGTGCTAATGTTGGGACCTGAAAAGCACAGCTCTTGGAAAACAAGGGGTAGAATGTCTAAGAGACAAATAGGACAAGACAGCATGAGGGCAGAGGAAAAGAGAGAGGTTTGCTCTCACACCAGAGGGCCTGGGCTGTATCTGAAGGAATGATTTACTCAACAGCTGGAAATCAAGCACAGAATGGACTCTGAACAAGGCATAAAAAAGACCCAGACAGGTAAGTTAGCTCAGGCAGCAAAATACAGGGAGGTACAGTTATTGCTTCGTCTAAATCCTCCTTTTCTCATGCTAACTAGAACGAGGAGAAATTGCTTTGGCATCCTTGCAAAAACCTGATTTGTTTGCCCTGCTACCACATGCCACTGAAAACACAAACCATAAATCCGGAGAATGATTGGGGCTCTACAAAAAGGTTTGCATCAGCTACGGGGAATCAGGAAGTCTGGCTGGACTGGAAGGTAAAATTTGTCAAAGCATTACAAGAGTCCACTTTCTTCACTTGTGCAAGGGAGAGCAGGGTGCCTGTGGCCAGCAGACCTGGTGCAGCGTGGCCTGTGCTGGAGCTCACGCTACAGAACCAGACACAGAAAGAGGTCATTTCACCAAGAGAAGGTCATTTCACAAAGCAGGACTAAAAACCCAAGCTCCACAGACCTGGTCATATACTAAGCTGTAGCCCACTTTCCCTCTGCTTTGCTTTACATCATTCCCTCCTTCCAAAGGATGCTACTGCAATGACAAGCTACCGCTGAAACGTGTGATGCTGTCTGGGTGACCCGGACACTAATTTCCCCTCCAGTTCCAACATGGCATCCAGAGTGACAATTCAGCTTTGAAAACCTCATCCTATATGAAGACCAACCTCTTTAAAAATCACTAAACAAAGAAGAAAAAACAGAAAACAAAAAACCAAACCAGAACTGATTTATCTGGTCTCTGGAAATTGAATACAGCAGCTGTTTTATCAGCAACAACACCTCCGCACAATATTGGAGAACAAAACTGCATCCAGTGAATAGACTGTCTGACTCAAGGCACTAGTAAAACTCCTTTACACCTTCCTTCTTACAGTAATAATTTTAATGGTTTCAATTATTTCCATCCAATCTCCTTGACAAATGTTTTTAAATTTAAACCCAGCCTGAGGTCCATACATTATAGCAAAATAAAAAAAAATAATAATAATTAAAAAAAAAAGAGAGAAAAAAAAAAAAAAAGACAAAACCAACAAGAAGCTACGCTAAAAGAATTAACTGAATTAACTGTAGTATGGGATTTTGGAGGCATCCAAGTTCCTTCCTGCCCTGCACTGCTGATTTCAAGGATTTCCAGCACTAGGATGGACATTTTTTTCAATGCCCAACAGCCTGCTTGAAATAGCATTGTTATTACTATTATTATTATTATGGAGCACAGCATCAGCCCCTCGCACAGTCATAAGCTGTGTGGATACGCAGAAACCCTGTGCCCTGCCAGGGTGTGGGGAAAGGCTGACGAGCAGCTCTGAGCTCATCTCAGCCCCGCACAAACCAAAGCGCAGGGAGCTGGGTCAGCGGTTGCCATTAATCATCAGGAAATTTGAGCCCTCCCAGAAGGGCAAGACCCAGAGCAAGGGAGTTTGTCACCATGTGGAGGTGCCATGAAGAAACTTCGGTCAAATTGAGATTTTCTGCAAGGGACAGAAGGGTGCTCAGTTGCCACAAGTACCCTGTACACAGATGATGGACGTGGGGAAGAGAAATGCAACAGACCTGCTCTGCTCTGTGAGTTCCATTAGGACTCCTGGAAAATTTGTTGAGCTTCTGTTGCTGACAAAAAGGGTCCCTTGAGCTGGCTGAAGGAGGCTGATAATGAATTTGCACGCAGTAAATTAGCCTGTGGATATTTTTACATCAGGCTGCTCGCCTCGGCTCCGATGGAAATGCACTGGGGGCCGAGGACTTCCTCCTCATTTGCTCCCGCAATCTCCTGCCAAAGGCTGGCATCTGCTTTCCCGCGCCACTCTGCCTCCCCGTTGAACGGCGGGGAGAGCAATGCTGACGCTATCTGCAGTCATCAGGCTGGCTACCGAGGAGCACTCACCCCCGGATCGCTCCACCGTGGACCGGCGCCAGGCGACTTGCAGCAACTTGCCTCCATCTAACGCTCCGCAGAGAGAGGAGCTGCGACACACAACTAGCTGTCGGCTGGGATGTGCTTATTAAATAAAATTAATGCTAGAAGACAGAAACAGAATTCCCCTCTAGTGCCGCAGGGCAGGTGTTTAATTCAGCATTTTATCCCCTTCCTCTTCTTTTTTTGCCTGAAATATTTTTCCATCTCCGAGCAGCTTAATGCTATACAGACTGTCTATTCCTCTTCTGATGCATTCTCCCTCCATTTAAAGCCATCTTTCTGCTTACTCCCCTTGACAAAAGTTCACTATGATTTTTTCTTTTCTATTAGGCAGTGATTGCAAAACCTCAGAGGGTTCATTAGGAGCTTGATAATCCCTCCAGATTTATTAGTCTAAATTGCTCACTCCCATCTCTCATCCCCATTTAAATATTACTAATTTCCTTAAACATCTCTTCCATCTGCCCAGGTTTTGCCCGATGTCACCTTTCTTTAATGGTCCCTGCCAAAAATCCAGTCAGTTCTGCTGAGAGTGGGTCTTTTGGACAAAGTGGTAAAATAACCTGGGTAAATAGATTAATATCCTGTGAGAGTGAATGGCAACAAAATTCATTTCTTTCTCACCTGCCTTAACTGCATTACACTAGACGAATGGGTTTCAAAGACAAATTTCACCTCTTTGACCTCGAGCAAATGCTTAATCACACCCATGCTCAAAACCAGTCTGGTGGTGGTGGTAGCAGTGGGAAGCTTACCCTTTATAGCTATTTCTGTTGTCTGAGCACCATCCAGGAACACGGACTCCACTGTGCTGGTGATGTGCAAATAGAAATCCCTTACTATGTGCATAGTCCCAGTCCATGGGGTGCACAGCAGCTGCCAGGACTGGGGAGGGCAAGTGGAACAAGAAACAGTTGTTGGGACTGGAGGGCAACAGGAAAACTACTTGATACAACTGGGAAATGACTGGAATGGTTTAGCACTGTGAGCAGGATCTGATGGGGCTGACCACTGTCCCTTACTAGCTCTACCAGCAGTACCAGCACAGCAACACTCTGACTTGGTGATGGCACAGGGGTTGAGAAATCACAAAGCAGCAGCCACTGCCTCAAAACAAGTGGCCTTCACCTCCCGGGGGTGCAGCTCTTCCCTCAGTGTCCATCACCAGGTGATCCCCTCCAGGTACAGCCCTTCCCTTCGCCTGCCTGCCCAGTGCCGACTGTTTGTGTGGGGATCCGCAGGAGCAGTGAGGATTGTTCTTGCTGGACTGTTATTGAGCAAGGTTAGGACCTATGGATCAAGCACTAAGCAGGAATCAGAATCCTATTAGTTCAGGTAGGAAGCTTGTGGCTTTTTCTTGCTTTTTCTTTTTGCACTTTTTTTCCTGACATCTCCTTTCCCTATCCCTTTTCCAATCTCTGTCCCAATTGCTCTCTTGGCTTTCAACCCCTCCATTTCACTCCCTCCCCCTCCTCCTCTCCACTCCAGCTCTCCTGCCTACACATTTGGCTCCATCCGTTCCCGTCTGTCTCCCACCCAAACAGAAAGCGTGATTCAGCTCTTGGCTTTCCTGGCACACGCACACCCTGGCATAAATATTAATAGAAATTAGAGAATATGAGTATCATTTGAGGTTGGAAGGCACCTCCACTTAATCATCCAGCCCATCCTGCCGCACTCAGGTTTCCATCATCCCCACACCAGCATTAGTAGGTAAGTATCTGGTCTCCCCGGCAGCAGCATTTCCCCTACACCACTTGGCAGCCTGTTCAAGAGCCTTGTAGCTGCTGCAGCAAGAGAAGTTTCTCTGATGTTTATTTTGGGTTTCCCCCTGCTGCTGCCTAAGCCCATTACTCCTTGTTTAGCACAGTACTCAGGGATTTAACTGCACGAACCCCCCATTAATGTTATTAGTAGCTATAAAGCCAAATCACCAAGGGCCATGCTGAAGATATACCCTGCTCTGCCTCTCAACATTTATGGTATCATCCTTCCTTTGTCTTACACAGCTGCTCTCAGAGGCGCAGCAGAAAAGCACGGGGCCACGGTGCCCTCGGCATGCCTGCCCCAGTGCAGCCTGACCTTCTCCCAGCACAAGGAACGGGCTTGGGGGCTGACACCTCCAGCATAACCCTCCCGAGCCCTCGGGTCAGGAACCACCCATCTGCCAGCACTTCCCAAAAGACCTGCACAACCCATCTCATCGCACCGGCTCCAGCCACAGTGTCGACAAACCCTGCCATTGGCAGCTGCACGGGATTGATCGGTGCTACTGGGCATCTGCTGGCTTTCACCTCCCAAAGCCCAGGGCAAGACTTCCCCAAGACTGATGCTCAGGTTTGCAGGGGGACACCCCTCCTTGCCTCCCTCCCCCTCTGCCATGAATCCCCTGCTCCACAAGCATGTGGCTCTTTCCCAATGCTCCCACAGGCCGGGGAGATCAGCTCCCATTAACATGACTCTACACGCACACGGGAGAAAAGCCGAGAAAAAAGTCTTACCAGATTAGTGAAGATATACGTGTAATAGGCAGACGCCATTCCCAGTTCAGCTGCCTGTGAAGGAGAGGAAAGGAGATTAGACCAGAGCCTGACAATCTTCAATCTCCACTCCAGCAAGGCAGAGACTGGGCCACATTTGCTTTTTCATCCTTATCGCTCTGTGCAAGCACGGCTGTCTTCCTGCAGGCAGGGAATGGTGGGACACAGAAACACAATTTGACCTGTGAAATTAAAGTCTGGTGAACCAATTTTTCAGCGGGACTGAGCCTACCTCTGAGGTCTCCTCTGCAACAGCACTGACAAAGCACCTGCACAGGGGCTGCTTGGCAGAGAGAAACCACCCAACACTGCGCGAGCTGTCACTCTGGACACCTGTGACCACCCCTGCTCCCTCTGCAGCACGGTGAAAGATGACATTCAGGGATTTCTGCAGGCAGCCTCATCCTATGGGTGTACCGAGTCAAGGACAACCTGGAAGGAAAACATCCACTGGAAGCAAAAGCTTTTGTACCCGCCCAACAGCAAGGGCCAGTATGGACCCTGGCAAGGCCAGGTGGGGTCCTGCAGCCCCAGCCCGAGGCCTCCAGAGCCCCTTGGGATGAGGGGTTCCTCGGGTGTACTGTGTGTTTGGAGGTTGGCTGGCATTTGCTGCTTTGGAAATGGATGCTGCTTTCCTCCTGTTCAACTATCAACATCTTTCTGAACATAGTGAGGGAAAGCAGCAGTTAAGAGAACTCAGGGCTTGTCCCCTTTCACCATAAACACCACAATGCAGAGAGCAAGGCAAAAAGCTCTTCTGGAGTTACAGAAAAAGGGCAGCCATCCCAGTGGTGGTTTTCCCATGTATCAGTCAGATTTGGGCTCCAGTACCGCCAATTAATTAGCATGAGTGAAATGTAGTATCTCAGCCTGTTCTCCAGAATTTAGACAGGGTCGCAATGGCCACAGAAATAGAAAAAAGAGGGTAAAAGTGTATGGAGATGCAGAGAGGACATGGGTTTTCCCATGGGATGATCTGTTGTAGAAATCACAGACCAGACCATTGAAATCCTTTTCCAAAATTCAAAATTCTCGTAAACAAGGAGTTGTTTGTGGGAACAGATGCTAAAGAAAGTGGGGGATTACTCTGCAGATCCTCCTGAAAGCCTATGTTTCCCTGCCAAGCGCAGCTGGTCTCAAATCATGCTTCCGGGCCTTGGCAAAGAGGTTTTCCCATCACCCCAGACCACACAGAGGAGCTGGAGGCAGTGAAGGAAGGACCAAAGGGAGCACCTCCTTACTTGGTTTTAGTCCCTGTCCATCTCCCCCCAAAGCTGGAGGATGGTGACAACAGAAAGTGAGTGAAGGAGAGATAGGAGGAGGTGGCTCAGATTGCACCTCTCCCCATTCCTGCCCATTCTTTACCTATTTCTGTGCAAGACCAAGGCCGACACCATTGCACTGGGAGCAGACATGGGCAGTAAGGAAAGCTTTGGATGCACACACAGGACAGACGGTGGCTTAGGTGTGGCTGTGTCCAGCCATTTGGTTGCATGTTGTCAGTCTGTCCCTTGCACATGTGGCAAAAGGGACACAGCAACGTCATTTGACCGAACAAGCATCACAACTCCAGAGGAGGCTGCCTTTCAGCCAGCTCTTCAGACAGCTGCCTCATTTTTAAGTGCCTACGCAATAAAATCTGGCACCCATTTCCCTCCCTTTTCCCTTCCTGGGGACAGCGATAATGTCAGCAGTCCCTCTGACCCCCTTTGAAGTCTGTGCATTTGATTTCAAGGGCAGAAAATCAAAGCGAGCAACAAAGTGCTTCCTGCAAGCATCGCTCCCATCCATTTAACATGCCTGCCGGCAGGTGGGCAGCCAAGACAGGCTGGTAATCAAGGAAGCAACCATGTGTCTCCAGACCATATGTGGAGGGCAAGAGATGAGAAATTGCTATTTCTCTCATTGTCCGAGACCAGGACTGGTTTCCCAAGACAGGTATGACACAAGGCACTTTCAAACCAAGTGGATTTTTCTTGCTTTTGGTGACCTGTGGGCAGAGGCCAAGTATGTACCTACCTGCTCACCACAACCTCACTCCCTACTCTGGTTGCACCTCTATAAAAAAAATACTTTCCAGCTTCCCAAGGTGCAAGAAGTTGCCAGATCACAAGCTCATTATTTATTACCTTCCATTCCTACAACCCTCTAGCCAGGAAGTCTACATTAGGTTTTACTGAACTGCTGAAAAATCGTGGCAATCTCTGACATCTTTATCAGTCATGGCAGAAGGATGCTCGAGCCGGGAAGGGAGACCGCGGGTGCCTGAAGAGTGCCGCTGTGTGCCTGTGGGAAGTCACTATAGCAACAGAGGAGGGGGACAGCCCTCAGCAGCCAGGCAGCATGGAACAGGGACCAGGAGGGAAAAAAAAAAAAAAGAAAAAAATGAAAAAAACACCCACAACCTCCTTGCACAGAATGGACCCAACACCCCCCCCCCCCCCCCCCCCCCCAAACCTGCCTATTTAGAAATGCAAAATTGCAAGCAGTGGAATAAAAATCTCTCGGGGAGTGAGGGGTGGGTGGGGCATAATAAAAACAGTTCTGATGGTTTATGCTGACTGGAATCAGGGATAAATCTGATACAGTCAAGGTCTCTGAATAGGTGACTCCCTGATACTGCAGCCAGGACACCATGTGTAATGACTGCACCAACAGTGAAGTGGGGACCCCACTGCTTGGATCCTGCCTCCATTCCAGAAAGTACTTCTTGTTCCTTCCAGGATGTGGGGAAACTCCACAACTTTATTCTCCATCTGGAGTCACTGCTCAATTTTGAAGTAGACTATCAAAACAAATGCTAAAAACTGCAGCAAGAGACCATTTAAAAATAAACATGATTAAAATAAAATCTCGGTTAATAAGACAATAAAAAAAGGAAGCAGAAAGTTAGAAATGTATTTGGAGAAAAAAAAAAAGAAAAAACTATTGCACTGACTGACTAATTTCAGAGCACCAAGCAGCCCTCCACGACTGTTTGATGGTAACAGGAGCCACAAGCACACACCCCTTCTAGGAAGCAAATATATCAGCTCAGAGCAATGAAATCATTGCTTCTATAGATACAGTCCTGAAAAGAGAGAGCAAATTATTTTCCCCAGAAACTCCGTCAGTGGCAATTCCCCTCTCAGCAGAGACCATTTCCAGGGTTGCTGCAGGAATTTTTACACTCCATTATCATACAACACCTGCATGTGCATGCTCATGTACTGCACGCAGCATCTCATTCAGTGGAAGCAGCAGCATTTACAGCTGTGATGCTTAACAGACACTTACCTTCTGCAAAATGGTATGAGACATGGAAGCATTGGCATGTACAATGATGGTAGCTGTTTTGTCATCTCGGATCTCTTTTAGGAGAGGGGTAGGATCCCGGCTGTCGTCTAGCATCCGGACTGAGAGAGTGTCCTTGGAAATGAGGAACTGCCGAAGCAACTTCTCTAGGTTTAAGAGGCCTTCAAATAAAAGGGAGAAAAAAATAGATGCTTTTAAATTTTGTGCTTCGTTCAAAAAGCACTTCTCCCATGGCCCATAGTCACCCCTGGTAGGAAGCAGTCCTGCAGTTCTGCCTCTGTGCGCTGCAAAGGAAAGGGTTTGGGGCCACAGCACAGGCTCGCTGCTTGGGCCAGCAAGGAATGGGAAACCACGGAGCTACTCCAGCTGTTCTCCAGTCAAAAAGCAGCCCCAAAGGCCTCTTGCAAAGAGATAAAATTGCTGATACAAATTCGCTCAGGACTCCAGAGTCCAGACAAGTTCTCCGTTATACTACTGCATGCAAGATGGTTCTGGTTATCACCGTTTGCTGGAGATGATGCCTCCTCCTAAGCCTTTCTACTACTAGCACCCAAACTAAGTGCCCTGCAAGGCACAACTTGATATGCTTTGGAGATCTCGGAGCACTGTGATAGGGATCTGCTGTCTTCCAAGGGTATGAGTCCCTGGGAATGGAAAGCTCTGCTGAGTCAGATGAAGCAGAGACCATTGCAAAACCACAACATTAGGTCTACATAAAAAAATTGTGAAAAAAATGGTGAATGTGGTCCTAGCACAGTGCAGAATTACTTGTGGACTGGGGATTCCCAGAGCAACACAGAAGCCAATAATAAAAACATCAAAAAATCCAGCATATTTGGTGCTTTATGGGGAAATTAGAGAGTAAAGTAAGACAGTGTTTGCAGTCCAGTGGCTCCATCACCGAGCAAGGTCTCTGGAGATGCACCTTCCACCTCCAGGTCAAAGCTGCCCTCCCTCTTTCTGCCTTGTCATCCACATTTCTGCCTCCCCCATGCCTCCACTGAGCCCTCCGAGTGCCCCAGCACAGCACAGCCCTCTGCCTCCTCGGGCAGCATCTGGACGTGACCAGCCACAGGCAAGAGCCAGGACTCTGGCTACCTCAGCACTCCCCATGCAGTCTGCAGGACCGGGCTCTCCCTTCAGACAGGAGCTGAAGGTTAGAAGTAATAATTAGTGAACACCCACATGGATGAGTCCCGACTTCCCTCGACTTGTGCCCTATTGCCTTCGGCACTTCGGATTGAAGTTTCTTCCTGCAGCTAGGTCATTGCAAGGGTTCCTTCCAACACAGCTTCCTTGATGTCTAATAAGACGTCAGAGCTCCTGCTGCAGCTTTTCTTAGTCAAGAAAGCATATTTGATAGAGTCTGTCTCTTCTACCCAGCTGCTGAGTTTCATTAGGAAATAACCTCCTGCCAAGTTTGATTGACTAGAGGGACCACCAGATGTAATCATTAGCAAGACACAGACAGCTAGCACGGTCACACATCCTGTCCCTACAGAAAGACAATCGGAAAAGAAGGGAGAAAGCTGAACTGAAGGAAACTGAAAAGAGCAGAACTAGCAGCAGAATCATGTCCCAGCTGGCAGAGGGGCAAAACCCATCCTTAAGTCAGAGCTCTACTCTTAACCTAACCGTACTTTTGACTGCATGAAACTGCTCATTCAGAAGGTCAGGGGCCAGGAAAGCGATACAATGCAATGTGATTAGCGTTAGCGCTGCTGTCAAGGACTCCCAGCACTTCACAAAGGCAACAAAGCAGTGCAATAAAAGGGATACATCCAAGATGAGGAGCCTCTCATTCACAGCAAGAGTTTTCCAGCAGGCTAAGTTTGCACTGAGCTCTTTACAATGCATTTGCCTCTTACTTTTTCTCTGAGTACAGGTAGGAACTCAGCAAGGGACTACAAAAACAGCTATGGCTAGGACTTCTCTAGACCACACCAGCTTCTTTTTCTTTCTCAATAGCCAGTGAATTCACTCTGTGTACAGGACACATGGACTAGACCTCACCTGAAAACTTTTTGTGTGCTAGCTCTAGTGAACTGTAAGTTTTACCTAAACCCTCCATTTGATCCTTACAAGGTTTATTTTCACCATATTCCACATCTGCAAGGGACTGGACAGGCTGCTGCAAGTAACAGTCCCGAGAATACCAAGTTTACATCTCATCCCAGGAAAATCTGCAGCTACAAAGTTAAGGATTCTAAGAGCACTTTACTAACTTTCTAAAAGTCCTGCATTAAAAAAAAAAAAAAAAAAAAGACATGGGAACTTACCCTTTATTTACACAATTATTTAAATTTCATGGCATTTAACACTGTACACTGTAAGAAGTGGATGTTGAGGGGGAGGGGAGGCAGCACTAGGTGCAGCTCCCCAGGCACTCACTACCAAACCCACACCCAATTTAAGTCAGCGGTGAGGACTGAGCACACCGGTGACGGATGCCAGGACCCACTGGCACTACCGCCCACGGACTGAAGTCTCAGGACTATCACTGAACATAAAATACTTCTGCCCTTGGAGAGCGTTCCCAGGCAAACGTCCCGGCGAAGCTGGGGCTGGCAGCAGGGAGTACCTGCACCGCAGTCAGGACAGAGTTCTGCCAGAGATCGCAGCCCCACGGCGCTCAGCTTTGGACAGACTTGAAGGAAAAGGGAAAGCTGCGCTACTCTGCATGGTGGGAGAAGCCCAGATTTATACCATGACGTGACTTTCAAGGGGACAGTAATTCACGGAAAGGTATGGGTGTCTGGAGGGAAATCTTCAGCCATTCCCTTTGGAAATGCACCCTTCCTATTTAATTTCCTGCAGAACTAAAATTAGATCCTGCTCCTTAACGCCGAAGGTTGTATATCTCAGCAGTAAGTTAATCTTGCAAACTGGATAGCATCCCTCTGCCAACTACTATGAGTTTGTGATTCATGTCAGACCCTCAGCTTCCTCTTCATTTTTCTCTTTGCTGACTACATCTGCACCTCTGTTGCCACCTTCTCCTCCAGCCCACAGCTCCCCAGGGTACGAGCCCAGGTCAGACAGCCGCCCTGGCCTCTGTGGGGAGGAAGGCAGAGCCCAGCTGCTAAATTTGTAAAGCACATCAAGCACAGAGAGGAGGAAGTGGGACCAGGCTAAAAAAGAAGCATTTGATCTCCTCGTCTGGCTTGAGGAAATTATTATTTTCAGCACGCTATATTCTACCTGCAGGCTCATCAGGCCTCCTGCTTGCAGCTCCTCTTGCCATGTGGAGGGAAGTCACTATTATCTGAAGAGATTCCCCTTTGTTTGATGATGAGACACTGCTGCTAACAGACCAGCACTTCAGAAGGGTGCTCTGCAAGCTGAACATGAGGAAGGGCTTGCAGACCCTTCCTGGCAACTTTGAAGTACTAAAGTGAAGATCACGGTGCACAGAGAGGCTGTTTGAACAGTCAGTCCTATGGGGACCATAGGTACACGCCAAACCACACAGGTCAGTGGTTCAAGATGTCCAGTGGGAAGTCCTGACCTTGCTTATTTTATTTTTCCTTTTCTTATGCAAACACTTGGAGCTGGCAGAAGTAGCCCACCCCCAAGCTCTCTGCAGATCTGGTCTCCCCTCCAGAATACCTGGCCCACCTCACAGCCCAATGCCAGGGAATGCCCCTCGGAAGCAGGGAAGGCATGATCTAGAGGTCTTTGTGGATTCCCACATCCCTGTACATTGCTTTTGCCCCCGAGGCTGCTGGGGAGAAGGAGACAGGCTCCTCCTCTCCGAGCTCTGCCCACCAAGGCCCAGGGGACCTGCAATTCCAGTTCTGGTTGCACCAGGTTTGTGCTGGTGCAATCCTTGACCCTGACAATTGGGAAGAGGAATGGTGATTCCCATCATACAACCTTGCCCTTACACCTAACAGCACTGCTTCAAACATTGGCCTGCGGCCCTAGGGCATGCAAAAGCTTTTTGATCTCACTGTCCTGGTCTCCCTTCCTAAGCACTGGGTGTTATCTCCTCCCTCTGACAATCAGTTTACAGTGTACCTCCTATGAAGCCTACACATCCCTGCACTTGTCTGTGGTTGCCTTTGCAGGTTAAGGTTTATGTGGAATCACACAAAGCCTTCCACGTTAGGACTCCGGAGCAATTCACAATCTCGCTAATTATTCCACACCACAGAGAAACTGAGTCACATACCCTTATTCTATTCACCATTGCATTACACTTAGGCTGGCCTGAGTTCATTGACTTTGAGGGTCATTGTCTGCTTCTGACAGAAAAAACTACAATTAGTCCCCAGAGGAAGGATGTGGCTCCTTACAGTGGTAGTCTGAGCCTGACAGGATAGGACCCAGGGGTCCCATCACACAGCCTTGTATTTAAACCAAAACATCTATGACTTTCCCTCCTGGGATCTAAATAATAACATCCCTCAAAACAGCATTTCCTCACTGATGAGCAGATAGCTCATATGCTCTCCTTATCTGCCTCCAGGGAACCTTACGAAAGCCCAAAGTGTCTTGAGTTAGTTGTTTAAGGAGCATGCTTAGGAGCCCTGCTTGTCCTAAGGGAAAATGAGGTCTTGTGCTACTACATGAAGCTGGATTATGACTTTTCTGCACTCTGTTATAGTCAGAGTGTGTTGTGCTTCAAGCCTAGCCTAAGGTCCTTAGTGAGCACAAAGAGCAGGATGCATGAAAGACACCCATCTGCCTGCTTCCCTGGGTCTGGGAAGGACTCGGGTTGCACAGCACATCCTAAATATTGAGTTATCCAGGAATACCAGAGCAAAATAAACTGAATTGATTCAATTAAAGGGGTGTTATTTTAATGTGAGCTATTTGGTTCCCAAGGTCTTGATCCAGTTAAATGAAGAATCATATTAATACCAGACTGCATTCAATGGGAGGCACCCATTAGCATGAAGCTGGAGGGAAAGGCAGGAGTGCATGGCGGTGTGCTCTCTGCCTGGCAGTAGCATGAGGACAGAGCTGGGAGCAAGCTGCACAGCAGGTGAGAAAACCTAATTATGTTTTCTTCTTTTTTTCTTTTTTTTTTTTTTTTTTTCCCCTCCCCTTTTTGCTTAAGGTTAAGGTTAGACAATGAAAATTTCCAGCACTAGAAGTAATGTAGGAGACCATTTGCATTATTTTAATTGCATAATTTCAGGTCAGGTCCTCTGCTGGGGTAAATCTGAGCACACTTACTGAAGGCAATTTACTGACTGACATCAGCTGAGGATGTGGTCTCCTCAGAGTACATAAAGCAAAAAGAAAAGGCAAAGGCACTTTTACTCTTTCTGTCCTTGTGCAGGAGTCTGCCACAACACTGCATCACTTGCACAGCTGGTGGTGTGAAGTTTGCCCAGGGCGAGCTGGAAAGGATGTTGTCTTTCCTTCATACCTGGCCGCCCAGTCAGGGACTGCTAAGCTCCTGCCAGTATCCCCAAAGCTCATACGGGATCCACGTGCTTTTTCAAAGCCCCTCTTTTAGGCTTGTTTGTATGGTAAACTCTAACACTAACACATCTGGCTACGGGACATTAAAAGCAAAATTGGTGTGGCTACTACATACCAGCTACCTATCTACACGCTGACCTTAAAAAGCACAGGACACCCCTTACTTTAACCACTGTGATGCAGAGCCTGCTCCTGCCATGTTAGGAGACTTATGCAGAGATGAATATGGTCTTGCCAAGGTGAATGCTCCAGCATCCAGAGGCACAATTACCAGCAGATGTATGGCTGCAGAGACCAAGAGGGTGTGCAGTGTATAGACTACTAATCAAGTCCTGCTTTTAGGCCACAAACTGCACGTGGGTTTGGGAAAGACATATTTCAAAAAGCTTCACTTGCCTAAAATAATCTCCAGAAACAAGACTAAGCCTTTTTTTTTATTATTATTTCAAAAACCCATCTGTGCAAGCAAAACACTCTTCAGACTGTCAAACAGAAGGCAAGCAAGTCTCTCCCCATCCCCTTTCCTCCTCTCACATGCGCCGCAAACACCCCCACGGGGCAACAGGGTGGAAATCCCGGCCCCGCAGGTCTCCGCTGTTTCGGGCTGCTCTGCCCGAGTGCCCGACTGCTGCCAACAGAAGGGACCCTGCCACCACAGCGAGCCAAGACAAGCACCCTGGGACACAACAGCGAGGCAGCTCTCGCCTGCTGCCCAGAGACCTTTTCCAACAGGCACCAAACACGCAGAAGGGGACAGAAGAGAAGGCACCAGGAGAAGAGGGGCAGACAAACCCAGCCTGGTAAGGACTTACATTCAGCTTTGGCACAGATGAGGCAGGCGGTGGTGCAGTTAAAGAAATTCAGGATTCCTGCCACGGCTACGCTGATATCGGTGTTGCTGGGATGGAGGTTGAGGGTGGTGAACCGCTGGAGCTGCAGCTTCAGGAACTCCTCTGGCGCCACTTTGAAGTGAGGAACCTAAGTGGGGAGAAGGGGAAAGAAAACACAATTAAAGAGGAAAAAAGAAATAAAAACAAGTAAATCTACCATAAAGGACCTTTGGTGTGAAATGCACAGCAGGCGGAAAGTGAAATATCCCAATAAAACTGCAGAAGCATCACTGGAGTGAAGAGAGAAGGGTGGGACTTGTGCAATAGCAGAGGAAAATAATTATCACAGCAACAAGAAGCCATGGGAAGGAGTGGATCAGGAAAAGTCTTGCTGAGCCACTCAGAGAAAGGCAACAGGGGCTGTGATTACAGCACAGGAAACCATTCCGGATGAGTTCAAACTAATTAGCTTGGGCACTAATTGTAGCTGGGCCCACACTTCATTTGGGGCTTGCTGCCTGGGTAAATAAGGAGGATGCTTTGCAGACAGGGAGTTACACAGCCCGTGGTGGAGATCCACAGACCTTTTCTGTGTGCTAGATGGATGAAGTGCTGCAAATCCACCTCTGCCTGCAGTACCGATGTGTCATCAGGTAATTAGGAGAGATGAAGGGGAATAACAAGATGACCCTGTGCTGGCAAGGCTCAGGAGAGAGAGGAACAGGTGCAGCAGCCAGAAGCTTTGGGCTTTTTTGATCGGCGGAGAAGTAACAGGTAGCCATATGGCGGGCAAGCTCCAACGGGACTGTCACCACGAGTCCTAATAATGCTGTGCTTGCCATTAATACAGCGGAGCAGGAGGCAGGAGCGGGATGCCTGTTTCCCAGGGAATTCAGGGAAGAAGAAGCAGGGAAGCCACGGGTGGTGGGGGGGGAACACACAGACAGGACAGCCCGAGGGCTCCCTCCAAGGCAGCTCTGCTGCACGCTTCACAGTTTCTCGTGTAGAGGGAACAGGTGAGCAGACAGATCAAGCTCAGACACCAGGAGTTCAGTAAGTAAGGGGAAGGAATATTGTCTTCCTTTTGCCAAGTGAATTATTTGGGAGAAGTAGGAGACAGAGAAAGGGAAGCATCTGCTTTGGCTTTATTAGAGGAGTGTCAAGTCCTCTTTTCCTCCATTATTAGTCCTTCTGGAAGCTATCATCCCATGCCTTCCACCTCTCTCCTCTTGGGAAAGGCTATTAGTAGGTTGTGATGGCTGCTTTATTGACAGCATAAGCTGTTTGGTTAGCAATAGGAAAGTTAAAGAGTACTGAGTTGCTATCTGCCTTGATTTCACTCTGCAGCCCTCATTGTGGGCTCTATTAACAGGGAGAGAAACAGATTGTAAGTGAAAGGCAAATTCCTTTAACCAGAGCAGACAGGGCAGCTCCAGTACAAGTATGCTGATCGTTGTCAGGAGCCAGATGGAGCCTGAGACTTACAGCAACAGCCTCTACCAAAGAAGAGGGAGATGCTGAGGTGCAGGCAGCCACCACCCCGGCAGCTCTGCAGGCGCCCAGAACTGATCACGGCCCTGGTTCAGACCTCACCTTCAGCCCCGGAGCCCTCCTCTCCCTCCCAAGAGCTCTGTCCCAGTGCAACACCCCTTTCTGGACAGAAGAGAAGGCACCAGAGGGGTAACTCGGGAGACACAGGGTCATCCTCCAGTTTTACCACAGACTGCTGGTGAACATCAGGCTAGTCACTCCATCTGGTGCCTCAGTGGTAAAATGGGGACGCCTTTACCTGATGGATGGCTGTAAGTACAATGGCTCTGCCGGGGTTGCTGTATCACGTTTAACACAGCGGCACCAACTGATACTACTGTGATATAAATCACAGGGAGTTACTGCAGGTTTACATCACTAGGAGGGCAGCCGAGATCAAGCTTCAGAATCAAATACCCTAGAAGTGCACGAGCACTCACCTTTAATTTCTGAAAAAAAAAAATAAAAAAATGAAGGGACTTAGATCAGAGGCTCAGACTGAATATGGATTTCAGGGGAAAACCACTTGCAATCTGTTACTGCAGAGTTGCCTTTGCCTGGGATGGAGCACATGTCTGGGACATTTAACTGGAAAAAGCACTACAAAATACTCTCAAGAGACCCATCCTGCTCCAGCCCAAAGCACTTGGTCTAAAAAGATCTCTTCCATCTCTTCAACACTTCTGATTCTCAGGGAACAAAGAACAGCAGTCATTTGTGAATGCGAGCTATTTACAGTGCTCAGTTCCAGGCACTCCCCTCCAAGGAGGCTGGGCTCCGGAGAGAGACCGCTAAATGGCTGAGAGATGTTATCTGGCTTTAAAGGGATGAACTATGAGAAGAGAACTCAATTTCTTTTCCCCGTGTGCAGAGCCAGATCAGTGTAAGATGGTTCAAGGCTTATAAAATATTAAATCAGGCACACAGTCTGAACACAGATAAAAGGGTTTGCATTGATGAAACAGCAGCTTTCCAAGTATGTGCACAAAGTCATGTCACACCCAGAAACTTTGGCTGGGATGTGCATCAGCCAGGGCAAGCTGCGGTTTGTGCACCCCTCAGTCAGTGGAGACATGGTTTGCATTAATATTGCACGTGAAGGAAGCTGAAATAAAAGGCAATACAGATGAAAACAAGGACAAGGTAGGCAGAAAAGAAGAGACGAAATGGAAAAGGAATAAGCTGGAACATCATGTGCATTAGGAGAGGGGGTGATGAACCAAGCAGTCAGCTCTGCTCATTAGAAGCCATAGCAGAGCACAGGAAGGACGATATAGCAGGTAAGATGACTACAGCAAATCATCTCTGGCAAGGCTGTTCTGGAGTACCATAGGCAGGTACCTCACTGCCCCTGTCTGATGGAGGCAATGTCCCTGCTCTCCCTTGCAGCTGGGACATGAGGACAGAATACACTGGGGATGATGAGGCACATGGACATTGGCTGGAGGGGGCTTGGGTAGCTGGGTGGAAAGGAGAGGTGTGCATACACAGAAAGGATGACGGAGAAACAGAGCACCTGACGTCTGCAAGAGGCAGACCCAGGCAAGGGAGAAGGCAGTGTAAGGCAGAGCTGGAAGCTGCAGCGAGCTGTGTGGCTGTAGCTGGCACTTGGCATAGACACAACAGTCTCAGACTAAGCCTTTCAAGGCTGCAGGAAGCCCTTCTGCATGGGATCTGCACGGGAGGCATTGCTGCTCGGTATAGCGGTAAATTAAAAACCTAATCCACACTAACGAAATCACCAGAAAAACACTGTATTCCCAGGGAGCCCAGGCACCAGCCAGCGGGAAGCACTGCTGCGACATGAGCCCGCTGAGAGCATCTTCGGTTGGAAGGACAACGTGCCGAAGGTGGGGGCTGGGGAACGGGTCAGGATCTCCGCAGTGCCCCTTGCCCACAGCGAGTGACTCCGCTCTCGCCCCAGGCCTGCCACAAAACATGGGGAGGAAGGAGCCAGGGCTCTCGCGTTACCCTCCCAGCCCTGGGCAGCCGCCGGGCGCGAGGGCGTTGGGGCCAAGTCAATCGGCACAAGGGCACAGGCTTCCTCCAACATGGGACGTTTTCACTTACCTCTTTCTCCCCACAGATATTGCTGATAATAGAGCTCGAGGCTGGGCTTGAGGAAGGTCCCAAGACTCCTACCACTCCTTTTGGCAGAATCTGGCACACTGTGGGCACCAGAAAGAGGAAAAACACATTAGGCTTTGTCCTCAATTTCCAGCTGACAGTCATGCTTACAGAACCTGCTGCACCTTACTAAGGATACAGCAACATCTCCTTCACACAATGTACTCCCTGTCATTTATGTCTCCAAAAAATCCCTCTATTCCCCTCTGAAGCAGTGGCACACCACCTGTGACACCCTCCTTTCTGTCTTTCCCCAGCCTTTCTAAATCCCACCTGAGCTCTCACCAACACACCTGTATCATCATCTCTGACTCAGAACTGGGGTCTTTCTCTTGTAACATCCCTTTTTGGCCCCATCTGCTAATCTCCAAGATAAAACACTAACTAAAGTTTATGGAAGATGCTAAACACAACAGTGATCTGTCTTCAAAGCATCATCTAGCAGCAAACAAACTGGTATGAATTTCTTCCCTCAACCTCTGCAGAGCTCAGTGGTAATAATGAGGATCATATTACTGTTTTTCATTTGGTTTTTTTTTTCTGGCAGTAGTTAATCTTCTGGCTCCATGCCACCAAGGTTAGCAGAACAATAAAAAGACCCTGACAAAATGAAGAAGTTAAATCTCTTCCCTCAAGCTTCCTGGGTTAAACTGCAACCTTTTGTCCTTTTAATTCACAGCACAAATTTAGCTGAATGGCACTCCAAGGACTACCCCAGCTGGTGTCACCTCCCTGCTGCCATCCCAATCAACCACGTCACTCAGAAACGCTCCTCCAGAGCAGCTTGTGCAGGCAAAGCCTCGCAAACAGAAGGTGAGAGCCCCTCACACCTGAATCCCCGGACTCCGAAAGGCTGCTCTGAACATGTGCTGGCCACGGCTTCTTCTGAAATACCAGACCTGCTTCAGCATCGCCACGCACACAGCTCCTTTCTCCCTGGACAGACAAAGCCACATTTGCTCACCTGGCGTCAAGTGACTGCTTTCTGAAGAAAGAGGATACCACAGGGGAGAAAGGAGGCACCACAATTCCTTATCAGTTCTGGCGAGAGCAAGCTCACAACATTTTCATATGTAAAAATTAAACCACCATATCACAAAGCTGAGATTTTAAAGATAGTGCCTCTTCAGTATCAAATAGCTGGCTTATTTCAGAGCACCATCCTCACTGCAGGTCCCTGGCTTACAAGCCAGACAAGGTTTTGTGATGGTTGTAAAAAGTTACCTAGATTCAGCAGCTGGAAAAAGGAGCTAGAAAAATTCAAACCAGAATATAAATTTTGTAGTGAAGAGAATTCATCATCAAGACTGTTGTACTACAGATCAGAGCAGGTTTTCTATCAACTTCAGGTCTTTAAATCAAGACATGAAATGAGAGCCTATACTGCGCTTGGGTTTTTGTAGAACAGTGAGCTATGGGGCTGAGTGAAGCATTCAGCAAGTGAATGTCTACAGTCTATTTTCTGCAGAAGATAAGATCAGCTAATCAAGGTGGTCATCTCTGGCCTTAGACTTCATAAGTCTCCATAGCTTCATGACTGGAATACAAGGCCAAAAGCTGAGGACTTAAGTTGGTCACTCTGGGAAACTGGTTTTACTTCTCTTCGAGTGATGCATGAAGGAAAAACTCCATATACTACTAGGTCCCTATACATACTGATTGCTCTGACTTCTTACAGAAAGTGCCAATGATATGCAAACACCTTCTCTGGGGTTTTCCCTCCTTCCATGCTCTCTCAGCCTCCACCATCTCAGTCTGCTACAGAATGAGTGATATTTTTCTGCAGCATCTTCAAAGGAATCCAGTACTTGCTTCTCCTCTTCTCTTAAAAATTTACAGGCACTTACACCTCTTCAGAAGATCCTTTTAAATAAGAGCACCAGCAATTTGAAAACCTTGCATGTTATCTCTACGGCACTCATCAGTTCCTCTCAGCTGCAGCAGACCCTTCACAATTCATCATCTAGGAGGAAGAAGCTGCTCCAAGTCCTCTTTACCCGCAGGTCATTATGGAAAAGTCCTGGGGGGAATTTTGTTCTGCATGCAGGGGAAAGTTTGGTGAACACTTTTCTTCTCATCTCTGGTATCAAGAACAAAACGTGGATTAAGTAGTCATGGTAACAGAGTTGCAACAACTGTCAGAAGAAAAAGACCTGGCCTATCACTCCAAGAGTGAAACATCCAGTAAAATTAAGGAAAATGAATGGAAGCAAAGTGGAGGTGCCTGAGGCAAAGGTTCCGACCAGGTTTGGAAAGCTGCTTCTCTTGTAATACAAACACATTTCCTATTGCAGAACATTACTGGATGCTGTTAGTCTCTACAGGGAGAAAAGGCTCAACCCGGTACCATCGTAGGCACTGTGGATTCAGACAAGCACTGGTAAGGATGTAGAAACATCAGTCCTGAACCAAAAATTCATCCTAAATAACCACACGGACTATAACCACAGATACTAGTATAGCCTCTGTCACTCAAGTCTCTTCATACTCCATCAAATGGGTGCCATGTAAGCTATATACTGTGCAAGACACATTTTTGATTGGTGCAAACCCAGTTACCTTTGCCCAAGATTGTGTCCAATTTTTATGTTTTTTTAGAATTCAGTACCTGAAGAAATACAGGACATTGAAGTGATGACATGCTGAAAACCTCTTTATCATGAGGTTTTATCATGAGGACATGGGTACTTACTGATCATCCTTGAGCTGAAGGCCTGATACGTCCCAAACCTCCTATTCCAGCCATTTTTATTGACTGCCTGCACTCAGCTGTTTTAAGTAAACATTTTTGAACGACAGCGGGATAGAAAAACCAGAAACAGGCTTAGTGAACAGATTTCTTAACACTCTTTAAAACACATCAGTCTTTGAAAACAAAACATCCTAGGGTACACCCTTCTCTGCTGAGACCTGCACTGGTTTAGGCAGGACAGGATCCTCCTGCCATCACTTAGGGGCAGCTCCTTGGAGGTGTGAATGAAGGTTTTTCTAATTCTACATGGACCTCCCTAGCCCTGCTGCTCGCACAGCTCAGATGTCCTGTTATGGTTGCTCCCTCTGCACAGTTATGGGCTTTGCCCAGAAGCAGGGGTGGGGTCAGACCCTCCTGTCCCCCTCCCAGCACAGGCTGCAGTCTGGAGCAGGGAGGTGGCTCTCACGCAAGCTCAGGAGTGTGTTCAACACGCCATGCAAAACAGTGACCCTCCTTTCATACTAGCAAGTCTGTCCTGCCATGTAAGCGAGGAAGGGCTGTGTTCGATAGTTTCCACAAGCATATTTGGGAATTAAGTCCAGGTCTGCACACTCAGGAAGCAGCAAGGTCTGTTTTAAAGGAAGATGGAAATATGTGCTTATTTTTGAACGTGAAAAAGCACAACAACAAGTGAGTAGCTCTCGCATTATATACGTATGCATATGCACTTAGTCATGGTCAGATAGTGCCTTTCACGTCCTGGGATCTCAGGGCACTTGCCAAGAATTTCCATGAACTCTCCCTGTTCAAAGTGTGGCTGAAAGCACTCCAGTGAGAGCACCCACCCACGGTGCAGAACACAGCATCTCTTTCACTCCATACAGATACCTGACATGATGGTTTCAAACTGCATGCAAAGAAGATTCCTGCCTCTAATTGAAAATAAATGAGCAGGGAAGGTCTGCAATTACCTCAACATTGCCACGATTGCAAAACATATCAGAAGATCTTGAATGACAGGGACTGGTCAAGACAAGATTCTTATGCAGAAAACAGCAAGTGCATAAACAGACGGCGTTACAGAGGGTGCATCCCTGCACCACAGCTCCGAGACTGCTTCCTGCAACATCCTTTATGCTCCTTAACAGGAACCCTCTATGAGAGCAGGTTTAAATGTGAAATCCAGCAGGATCACAACAATGGTGGGACATTTAATAGCACATTTGAGCCAATGTCACTGAATGGATGTATCAGACACTTCGAAATATTGGTGTGAATAAATAAAAATTAAAAATCCTTCAGTTGCTCACTCACTCTGACTGCTGACCTGCCCTAAGATGTTTGGATTAACAACAAAAAGGCGCTTAAAAGACCAATGAGACAGTAGGGGACAGGGTGGTAAGTAGAAAATCCGTCCCTCCCTGGACATCAAAAGGAATAAGGTAAAAACATGATAAAACAAGTCATTTTGGATGTCCATAAAAGGAGCTGAAACATCAAACACAAAGAGAGAATAGGCTTTACTTATAACGACAAAAAAGCTCTATCCATAACCTTTCACTGCAAACTCATTTTGAAATACAGGACTTTACAGATGTTGCATATAGCAACAGTCAGTGTTTGTCTTCATTCACATATAAAGCTGAAATAGCAAACTATGCATGAACGTGATTAAGACTGACTCATATTTTACCTTCTATAGCAATTGTGATTTTGTGGCCCCCTAAGAGTAAGATGCCTGAGTCAGTCAGGAGGAAAAGAAAAATAGCTCAACAGTAAAATAAAAACTAACTCTCAAAAAGTCTTTCTTCTCTTAAAGCACTAATTGTACATGGAATATCACTGATGGGGTGCAATCACAGTGTTCCTAGATCAGTTGGCTAAGCATGCTAGCTGTGATATTTAAGGGTGATTCAAAGGGCGTGAAATTTGAGAACAGTATTAAACAGATGTATAACAGCTTTGCAGTCATAGGTTAAAACATCTAAACTGCTTTTATTAATATTACGTGTGATAACAAATATCAGTGCCGTATTAAAGCTGAGAAGTCAGACATCTGAAAAGCCATAAAAGCCTTGAAATATAAGTTAAAGGATCTGATTCTCCTCTGTTACCAGTATAAATCAAGAGTAACTTCAGTGACACTAGCAGCGGATCCATGCAGAATCCAGATTTTTCCTTTTGTAAGAAATGCTTCAAGACACTTTTCACTCTGAAGAAAAGGCAAATAACATATTGCAAAATTATGTGAATACTCACTTCACCAAAATCAAATCAGTTTGCTCCAATTTCTACTTTTTACATTCTATAGGTCAAAGTACAGAAAACAAAGAAAATCACTCTGAGGTGAAAATTCGAAATAGAAGATTGTCTCTTCCTCACTTATCCCATTTCCATGTTCTCCCCAAACACAACGTTTGCTGAAATCAACAATTTCTTGCATAATACTTCATTCTCAGCAAATTAGTATGCTTCTGATTGAAAATCGTTCCAAAAGAATTATTTCTGTGCAGTGTTACAGGGATGCAAGTGAGAAAGAAATCTCACTTGCGATCTTTACCGCAGCTCTGGGGTCACTTGTTAAATCGAGCCTGTTTCCCAAGCAAAGTTAAATAACAGAAACACTGCTACGTACAGAAGATTTATGAGAAAGGGAAAAGAATGGAACTAAAAATGCTGCTGGTTCTTTTAAAGACACAGAAGGCTTAGGCAAGCAAGTAATTTTCTCACTTCCTAGGAGGCTCGCTGGGAGATTTGGGATACTTTCAGGGGCAAACTGGGAATGCACTTGGAAACCCAGGCAGTCCCCCTCCCTTCTGCATTACCTGGCCAGTGAGACTGGATTTGCCCTATTGCTGTGTCAAACGAGGGTAAAGCAGGATGCCACAATCCTGAACAGATGGGAGAGACCAAGAAAAAGTTAAAAGAGATGAGGCATCCGAAAAGATGAACTGCTGTTTTAAACAGTCCCTGTGATGCTGCATGTGACGATCTTAATCTAGACTGCCTCATGGGTGACAGGCTCTATAAATAGACATACAGGTACTTGCTGATACGCACTTTATTAACTGAACGCTTCCATAAATAATGCAAATGCTAATTCAGGAAATGAAGGAGTGATCCGCTGATCCCGCAGGCCTATTGAGCCCGTTCTGCCCATTACCCAGAGCCACTCCCGATCGGCTCCATGGGGCTCCTAGGCACAGGGCTGCTCAGGGCTATGCAGAACAACCGCCAAAGCTGCGTGAAAAAAACAGCCTGCTCTAGACCACAACATACTACCACCCCTTTTGGGGATACCCTGCAGATTACAGGCTTGGAACAGAGAACCAGTGGGAAACAAGCCTAAAATCCCTATTATTTAAAGTAATTTCTCCAGCTTTTTCAAGCCAACTTATAATAAAAACATTATAGTCCTCCTTTGAACTCTAAAGGTTGTCTTAAAAATGACTCTAAAGGGAAGCTATCCTATTCCAAAGGATTTTCCCTCTTACCGGAAGAAGCGATTACAGATCTTCTTGGTTTCTTTCACTTGGGCTCCTGAGAGGTCTGTGGGACACTGAACATCAATTTCTTTTTTATTAATCAGCATGATGTTGACAAGATTGGCATCTAGAGGAACAACTACAGTGGAAGTACACTGGTTTTTCAAAACTAGGTCTTTTTAATCCACTTGATTTCAAACATCACTTGAAAAGTTCACTTTGTATAAACAAATCCGCTGCCGATCTAAAGCACTGGAAGAGCTATCATGTTTGCTGACACACACCGTTCTGTATAACTCAATTGCACTGAACTTGCCCGTAGTCTCCTGTTGGCACACCATTAAGTACTTTACAAAGGACGATCATCTCCTGTATCATTACATCCGTTTACTGATGCACAGATTAAAGAAAATAATTTGCCCCAAACTGCTGAGATGAATGGTGGCAAAGCTTACTGGGGAACCCAGATCCTCTCAGTCCATGCCAGGGCTCTCCTCACAGCACCATGCTAAACCCTCAAATGAAACCTGGTCTCAGCACTTGCTGTCCAAGTCTAACCTCCCTGCACGTGCTGCTGTGCCCCGGCGGTGGATGCACCCAGGCCCTTCCAAACGCATGGCTGGCAACTGTACCAAACCCCTGCACCAAACCTGACTGTGCTCGGGCTTTCCAGAGACCTACTTCCATGCTAGCACGTGTTGACAGAGGAGCAGAGAGGTGCTTTTTAACCTGTGTACCCCCCTTGACGATCACACAATTATCCACCGCAGCAAGCGCAGCATGACAGACACCTCCTGCGAGTCAGCAGAGAGAAGAACTGGGGAAGGACCAGCTACACAGAGGGGTACTTACTGGTTTCTGCCGTCTCATACTCGCTGTCTCTCAACAGCTCAAAAATGTCCACTTCCACTTTGGCTTTTCCGACCCGCTCAGGCGCGCGGTTGATGCGGTTCTTGGCCAGGGTGATGGAGAGCCTCTCCCCTCTGCTGCACTCCATGGGGTCATCCAGGATGGCAGCTGCGGGGGCAAAGGCGTTGGCAGTGGTTAGGCTCGGCAGGGACCCGGCTCAGCTCCGTGCACCTCCCTGCCCCCCCCCCCAGCACCCCTTCGGGATCTCCGCCGCCACGCAAGCAGCTGCCGCGCTGGCACTTCTGCTCCTGCCACCGCTATTGTTAGCGCATCCTCCCTCCCACTCACGGCCTTTCCCGCCACTTCGCCCACCTCCCAGGTCTTGCCAGACACGTGGGCGGCAAAATCTCTGCAGCAGCGGCTGCATTACCTGCCGGCGTGCTGTAGCACGACACGGCTGCCTCTGCTGCTGAGGTCCTGGCAGTGCCCAGCACCCACCGTGGCACCGGCGCCCGCCCGCTCGCCCTGGGTGCTCCTAGACAGGGACATGCAGCTGTGCAGCCCCAAGCAGCCCGGATCCGGGCACTGCCTCACATCCCAACAAAGGAAAAACGTCCCCAGATAGCCTCGGTTCGCTCATTTGAGAATGCATTGGTACGGTGCTGATAGTTGGAATATTTCAGGAAGCATGTGGGCAGTTGTGGGTGGGAAGGGACAAATATTTTTCAAACAGAAAGCACTTGACTCTTGAACTCAGCTCCTGGGCCTGCCCACTCAAATCTGTGTTATGCAGAGGGAGATAGTGTGGGGTATTATTTTTATTTTCTTGACAGAAGGCAAAAAGAAATTAGAGTTGAGCATTAATCACAGCGTTTCATTATGAGCTGGCACAACTTCTGCACCCCAGTGTGTTTATCCATGCTAATAAGAGGTCTCCTCCCAGAATGCAGCTATTCAGTTGTACCTGGAGAAGAGCAGCATTGTTTTCCATTGTGTATATTAGAAAGGCACCAATGTTTATCTTCTCTTCCCAAAAATCACTCCAAAGGGAGTGATGCCATTCAGAACTGCTAGGGTGTAGATGGAATCGCAGCTCAGTGCTGAATCAAGCCCTGCACTGCATGGGTTATCAAAGCAGGGATTAGTGGGGCTCTGCTGGTTTGTGTGTCAGGGAAACAGGGAACTAACCACAGCAGCTAGGTGCCTTGTTGAAGCTTTGAAATGTGTCATTGCGCTGCAGCAGGTTTGGATTTTTTTAGACAGGGAAAACCAGAGTGAATCACATAAATCAGCTGAAGTAAAGCATATTGGCTATAAATGGGAGGTATCCTGCCTCCCTAAGAGCAAGGGCTGGTGGCAGAATCCAAGGATACACATATTTGGAAGACATGGCTAACTGGGACCACTGTCAGAGAAGCATGGTGGTGTTGTGCTGTAGGTGGGGCTGAGAACATGTTCCTCAGAGGGCTGGTTTGTGCCCTGAAGGTCCTCACTGCTCCCCCAAGGATCACTCTTCATTGCCACCAAACACATGGAGCCTCCAACACAGCCCAGCCCAGTGAAGAAACCTGTCTTGGTTCAGGCTCCTCTTTGGCTTTCCTGCCCTTGAGACTTGCTTTGAACCAACCCCAAAACTCAAAGCATAGCCCAATTTCAACAACCAACTTGAAACACATCTCAGGGCTCTTTTCTCAGCCTTCCTATTCCGGTGGGATCTCTTCTCTCATGACAAAACTGCAGAGCACCTCTGCTTCCCAGTCCTGCCCTAAACCCAGCTGTGGAAGGTTACTAGATCCACTGGTGAAACAAAGATGGTTAACCCTAGCCTGATTTACTTTGTATCCCAATGATACCCTCTCAAGAACTGCTTCTCTTCCTACTTTTTCCCAGATTTATAGGAGCTAAACTGAACTAAGTACTGATAAAGAAACACACAGCAATACTTATTGTACAATACACACAGATGTCTTGGCAAACATTCCCAGTCCTTCAGGTGACACCATCTCCTCTGCTCCGCTAACATGCAAGCACCATCATTATCTGCAAAGCTAGGGCAGTTAATCTTAATCTCATTATGCAAGAAAAAAGGTTGTGCTTTCCTCTAAGGCTAGGCGCATGGATCACAGGTTTTTTAAGACATCGATATGGCTGGTGACTGCTCTTAATTACAAAGAAGCTGAGAGACTAAAGTGCCCCGACAAGCAGCTTGCTCAACTCCCCACTTCTCTAGGAAAGTAGCAACAGACAGCGAAGAAAATCCTCATACACAAAACTGTCTGAGGTGTGTTAACTTTTCACTATGGCCCTGTTTCCAGGAAAGGTAAAGCAATGTACTGAATCTGATGAACATCACAAAATGCTGCATATGTTCCAGGTGCTGACATAGCAAAATTAAAAATCAGTGGTGGGGGAGTGTATGTCAGCACTCTTAGATTCATTATTTTCTAATTTAAAGTTTCAAAAAATCAATAAATTAGACAATGTTTTCAAGTAATATTCTTCAATTGTCAGTTTTCAAACAAAATTCACTTCCACAAATGTATAGTTAAATACATTTTAAAAATAAGAGTCTAAAGCAAAGCATTTAAAAAAATTTCCTCAGGCCACCTAGACACAAATGTTTGCACAGAGTTTGTTGCCTCTTCTCAGGATGGGATTTTCCATTCTTATTTTTGTAAATTTTGAAAACTTCCCTACATTTGAAGAAAACGACACCAACAAACATTCTTCCCTACTCAGCTCTGATTGAATTTTAACTTTGCAGCCCATTTTGGGAGCAAATGCATGAGGTAGGGGAAGGTGCACACAGCACATGGCAGGTTTTGGAAAAGAAAGGAACACAGCCAGACAGCCTGGATCCTAGCATTCTAGAGCCCAGCCACTAATCAAACTACATCCCTGTGGGGCCTCGTGATAGAAAACCAGCAAAATTTTTTCAGTTGTATTTTGGGACACTAGTTAGTTTTACCAAATATTAAACCAACCCCCAGAACAGAATTGGTAATGAGGCTGAACTGATCTTTATTTATTAAAGCTAGCGGATGAAAAAGGTCATTTAATGTTTAAAAAAGCTTGGCTTTAAAACTTCATGTCTTGGGACACAGTGCCAAAGCTCATCTAATAGCAGCATCATTAAGTATGAACGAAAATCTTTATAGAAATTCCCTTTCATCTATTCCTGTCTATTAAATATGGGAAGATGCATCAAGTAAATCTTTAATCCTGAAAAGTTACAGCGAAGTCTTTGAACTTTGTTGGCCTCAAAAATCACTTCTATCTTCCCCATCATAATAAATGTCTCCAACCTAGACTGACTTCTCTGTGAATTATGAGAAAAATATTTCACAGGGAGTCAGGAGCACCTGGGTTTGTGATGCCCAATTTAGGGCTGCTTCGGCTTTCATAGCGACTGAGAGCCAAACAACTTCAAGTGAAGTAAGCAAGGACTGTCAGAGGGTGAACTTTTCTCAGGAAGAGCTGGCTGGAAACATCTTTTCCCATGGCATGTTCCAATCCTGATAGATAAACATCCTTTATATAGTAATAGGGTTTTTTGTTGTTGTTTGTTTTGTTTTGTTTTGTTTTTTTAATTCGGTGTGCCCAGGTTTTCCTTACGCTGAACACAAAATCTGCAAACCCAAGAAGCTACAATCCAGAAGAGTTTATCGCTTTGGATATGCCTTGAAAATAGCCGGGTCACAGACGCTCAAGATTCAAGCGACAAGTGGCTTCAACTGTAAATTTCCATCCAACACAAATTTCAGATGCAACACTTGAAGTTAACCATTAACAGCAAGAACCAGAAAAAAGGTACTACTGGTAGCCAAAGAAATGCAAGATGACGTGAGAATATCCCTCTGAGAAAAATAGATTTCAATAACTTTCCTATAGATCATCCCCACCTCAGTGATTTTCTAGCCCTCAGAGGTGGGCAGACACGATGTGGGATGAGGAGGCAGAAATCGGTGCTCTCTGATGACGTGTGTGTGTGTATGTGTGTGCACATGTGTGAGTGCACAGCTGGCCCAAGCCCTGCCCGACCGAGATCCAGCATGTAGGATATCCACGGGTGCCTTCTCCCAACAGGAGCCGGACAAGGAGCTCCCCAGAGCTGCAGCTTTCTGAAGCTCCATCAGCCCCAGCCCCACACGGCTGCCCCACGGGAGGGACAGCCGGGGCTGGGGCATCTGCCCGCAGCATTTTCCCCCCACTTGAGCAGAACACAGCCACAGCAGTATGAAAGGCAGATGCTCAAACTCTTCTGCCTTTTCTCCTCTTACCCTGGAGAAGCTTCTCCAGGAGGAGGAAGCATAGTCATTTCTCACCCCAAACAATTCAGCCCTACTCCTTTTCACCAAGACAGCGAACGGGGGGGACAGACAGCACTGTCAGCTTGTGTGCTTTCAGCAGTGGAGACAGCTGTCTTCCTGGAGCTGGGCTGAGACACAGCAATTCATCCTGTTAAAAGCACCAGTCAGTTTACAGACAACACTGAAATGTAATCCTTTCCACCCTCAGTTGGGTTTCAACCAGTGCTAAAAAAGCAGAAAGCCTCTGTTCTCCCATTCCCCCAAGCCATGTGGTTCCCCAGAGTGCTACCCGCCACCAGACAGATTCACAACATATGCACTCTGACAAGCCTAATACGACTGCAAGTTTTACTACATTATCACTACTTAATTCATGACCCAACCAAGATCTAATGAAGTAGCGTTTTTATAACCATAACAGGGAACAGATGTTACCAGGAGGTTTATACACTGCTACAACAAACAGTGTTCAGCTGACCTTTCCCTGTTAACTTTATTAAGTACTGCTACATTTTCTCAGATGCTTTTCATACCATTGAGACGTAAAGCCATACGCAGAAACACAATTGCCATCTCAAGTCATCTCTTGAATATGTAGATTTAGCAAGGCACTGGCTCAGTAAACATGCTATTTCACTGTTCATAACCTGTCCCTCCAAGTCAAAAAGATACAAAGCCACCTGCAATATTTCTCAGCTGTCTCCTCTGACAGGTTAAGATCACACCTACAACCTCTTCTGATTTATACTGTAAACACAGTCCTCAAATCCTCTATGTTCCCATTATAAATGGGCTCTCAAATCAGGAACTGTAACCTCAGTTCAACCAGCTTTAGACAACTAGAAGATCCAGTACCTA